TAATAGATGAATGCCTGGTCAGAAGGACCTCGTAGAGTCTTACTCTTTGACGGACTAGTTGGTGATCCAGTCCAGTCTCCCTTCCTCTTTCCCTCCACACTTGGTCTCTAGCCTGGAACAAATGAAATGGCATGTCCATGGAGAAGAAGCAAACTCATGAACAGAAGTCAGTATTTCATTTAGCAATTTTAAATAATGTCTAATAGCTCTCTCCCTTTCTAAGATTTTATAGCCTGATGTTAGCCCCAAAGTGGGTAGGAAAGGTCTCTCATACATAATTTCTAAAGGGCTCAACTGGAGCCTGTTTCAGGGAATGACCCAAATCCTCAGCAGGAAAGAAGGTAGTACTTTGTCCCAAGTTACATTAGTTTTCTGGCACATTTTAGCAGCAGTTGTTATTTTATTTATTTTTTTTTGAGACAAGAGTCTTGTTGTGTCACACAGGCTGGAGTGCAGTAGCATCATCTTTGCTTACTGCAATCTCCACCTCCCATGTTCAAGCAATTCTTGTGCCTCAGCCTCTCAAGCAGCTGGGACTACAGGCACATGCCTCCATGCCCAGTTACTTTTTTTTGTATTTTTAGTAGAGATGGGGTTTTGCCATGTTGGCCAGGCTGGCCTCAAACTCCTGGCCTCAAATAATCTGTCTTGGCCTCCCAAAGTTCTGGGATTATAAGCATGAGCCACCACACCTGGTCTAGTTGTTCTTTAAATAGTTTGATTCAGTGTTTTAGTCTTTCCAGTGGGCTGTGTCTGTGCTGCATGAAGTTTCCATTCAGTGTCTAGGATTTGAGACACTTCCTGTACTACCTGAGAGACGAACACCACAGCATTGTCACTCTGACTCATCAAAGGGAGTTCATACTGGGGAATTATCTCTTTATAATAATAAAGTAAGGTGTAGGTCACTTCGGCTGCCCTTTCTGTTCAGATAGAGTATGCCTCTACCCATCCTGTAAATGTGTCTACAAAAATCCAAAAAGATGGTTTTTGTACACTTCGGCTGCCCTTTCTGTTCAGATAGAGTATGCCTCTACCCATCCTGTAAATGTGTCTATGAAAATCCAAAAAGATGGTTTTTGTACAAAAAGATGCCTGGTAGCCTCCAGGTGCCTGTAGCATTATGGTGAAATTAACTTGTCAGTTCTTGCATGAAGAGTCTCCTCAACGTTGTACTCTCAAACAGGGGCAGGGTCCAGTTTTAGTGCAGGAAGCATGCACTGATGGATCACATTTTGGACGACTCGTTGCATGTCTCGGCCAATCAAGTACTCATATAGCCATTGAAGGGTTGCATCTCTTCTGTAATAGATGCTTTGATGGAACTGGCTCACTATATCTTTAAGGAGGGCACTGGGAACCAATATGATGTATTCTGGATTACATTTCCAGCTGGATGGGCTGGGGATGTGAATCCTCATTCCTTGGCTCACTTTAAATCTCCTTTGGCAAGGTTGGAACTTGGTCAGATTGACATGAGGTATTAGTGGGGTTAAGAAAGCCTCCAACTCCAATATTTCTGTGACTTTCTTGGCTGGCAGGTTGGCAGTTTGATTTCCTTTGACTATTTGGGTGTCTCCTTTTTGAATGGCTGGGACAATGGATGATAGCCACTACTGGAGGGGGGATTTACAGATTCTTTTTTTAAAATTTGAGATGGAATCTTGCTCTGTTGCCCAGGCTAGAGTGCAGTGGTGCGATTTCAGCTAACTGCAACCTCTGCCTCCAGGGTTCAAGCAATTCTCCTGCCTCAGCCTCCTGAGTAGCTGGGACTACAGACACGCACCACCATGCCTGGCTAATTTTTGTATTTTTTAGTAGAGATGAGACTTCACCATGTAGGCCGGGCTGGTCTTGAACTTCTGACCTCAGGCAATCTACATGCCTCGGCCTCCCAAAATGCTGGGATTACAGGCGTGAGCCACCATGCCTGGCCTTTTACAGATTCTAATAAGGCCAAAATATCAGAAACATATTTGATTTCTTTATTTTTGCCAGTCAAAAGGCCTCTGTCTACATAGCTCCCTGGGCATGTGCCAGCAAGAAAACATATTGGGAGTCTATATAAATATTCATACTTTTTTTTTACCCAATTGGAGGGCACGCATAAGGGCACCTTGGCCCACTGAGCTGAAGTGCCTAGCAATAAGTCTTCGGCTTCCTTAATTCCTTGTAAGGTATGACCTCAAATCCAGCATGATGATGCCCATGGTCCATGAAGCTGCTTCCATTTGTGAACAGTCCTAGTTTGGAGAGCAGCAGGGGCTGATCTGCCAGGTCTGCTTGCCTGGGAAAGATTAGCTCAATAACTGGAAGACAACTGTATATGGGGCCTGGCTCCTTCTTTGGAGATATTAAGGTAGCAGGGTTAAGAACCAAGAATGCCTTTAACATCACCTCTGGATTCTCAAGGTGAGTGGATGACTTGGTGTTTTCCCAACTTCTCAGAGGTCAGCCAACACCCACCTTTTTGCTCTAAGAGAGGGAAGGTGTGATGCAGGGTGTGCACGGTGATGAGCTGAACTAGAGTTAGCTTTTCAGCCTCCTGGAAAAGGCTGCAAGTTGCAGCTACTGCTCGGAGGCAGGGGGACCAACCCCTGGCCACCTGGTAAAACTGTTTAGAGAAATAGGCAGTCGGTTTTCAGTCAGTTCCCAAGTTTTGAGTTAGGACTCCCAAGCCCATGCCTTGTTTTTTGTGCAAAAATAAATCAAAGGACTTTCATAAATCTGGAAGGCCCAGCACAGAGGAAGTCTTTAACTTTTCTTTGACTTTATTTTGTCATTTATTTTGAGATGGAGTTTCATTCTTGTCACGCAGGCTGGAGTGCAGTGGTGCAATCTCAGCTCACTGCAACCTCTGACTCCTGATTTCTCCAGCCTAGGCCTCCCAAGAGCTTGGATTATAGGCGCTCACCACCATGCCCGGATAATTTTTGTGTTTTTTAGTAGAGACAGGGTTTTGCCATGTTGGCCATGTTGGTCTCGAACTCCTGACCTCAGGTGATCCAAGAGCCTTGGCCTCCCAAAGTGCTCGGATTACAGGCATGAGCCACTGCACATGGCCTTTTTGACTTTATTAAAAGAATTTTGGCATTCTGAAGTCCAGATCAGGGGCTCAGATTTTCTTCCTTTTAGGGCCTCATAAAGGGGTTTTACCATAAGTCCAAAATTCAGAATCCTAATTCAACAGAATCCCACCATTCCTAGACACTGCTGCAGTTGTTTACAGGAGATGGGGAGAGCTACCCAGGCAATTGCCTCTAGGTGGCCTGGGGGAAGGATTCCGTGCCTCTTAGTTCAGACCCTACGTATTTTACTGTCTTTCAGTATATCTGGCCTGTTTCCACCAGGAAAATCAGTGCTTGAATGGTATTTTCAAGGAAAGCTCTGAAGGTCTTGCAACAAGGATTTCATACACACATTGTAAAAGCATTCCTTCTGTCAGCCGAAGTCCCCTTAAGTTCCATGCCAAAAATTTCCCAAAGATTGTTGGGAATTCTCATTTTATTTATTTATTTAATTTATTCATTTATTATACTTTAAGATCTGGGCACACGTGCAGTTTGTGCAGGTTTGTTACATAGATATACATGTGCCATGGCGGTGGTTTGCTGCATCCATCGCCCCGTCATCTACATTAGGTATTTCTCCTAATGCTATTCCTCCCCTAGCCCCCTACCCTCCCAGGCCCCAGTGTGTGATGTTCCTCTCCCTGTGTCTGTGTGTTCTCATTGTTCAGGACCCACTTATGAGTGAGAACATGCAGTGTTTAGTTTTCTGTTCTTGAGTCAGTTTGCTGTGAATGATGGTTTCCAGTTTCATGCATGTCCCTGAAAAGGACATGACTCATTTTTTATGGCTGCATAGTATTCCGTGGTGTATATGTGAAAATGTGGGGGAATTTTTAAGTCCTTGAGAAAACGCTGACAGTACTGCTGATTGACTTGTGTTCCAGCCACAGCCATTCAAATGCAAAGATCTCTTGTGATTCCTTGCCTAATGCAAAAGAGGGCATCTTTTTGATCCAAATCTGTAAACCAACATAGTTCTCCTGATAAGGTGATCAGCAAGCTACAGCGGTTAGGTACCATGGGTTATATGTCCTAGACTATTTCATTACTAGCCCTAAGTCTTGTACAAACTTGTAGTCGTCTTAACGAGACTTGCATGGTGGTAAAACAAAATGTTAAAGAGAGGATTATAGGACCAAATCAGTCCTTGTGCCAAAAAAGGCTTCCAAGAGTGGTTGAGTCTCCTTCTATGCCACTTCCTTTAATGGATACTCTGTGTCTCTCTTTTCATTTAATTGCTATGGGTCTGGCTGTGACCACTCTCCCTGGCTTCCCCTGGCCCAAACATCTCTCCTTACCTGCATGAGAATTTCTTCTGGAATGTCCTGAACCTCTTCGTTTTCTGGTTGGAGCAGGAATATTTGAAACCTGCAAACTTACTCAGAAGGAATCATTATATCTAGGCATCTGAGGGGAAAGAAGTTGAGCATACAATTTGGCAAGCAAATCCCAGCCCAGGAGGGGCACTGGGCATTAAGCATGTATAAGAAACTATGCTCTAAGCTGGTCACTCCTAAATGGTAACCTAGGGATTGTATAAAGGGGTAATGGTGTCTCCCAGTATTCCTGTAACAGTAATGGTTTTTCCCAAAGTTGGAGAGAGACAATTGTTAATTACTTAATATGTGGCACTGTGTCAACTAAAAAAGTCCATCATTCTGTTCCCCACTGTCAGTTGTATCCGGGGCTCCTGTGGGGATATAGCCACCAGTTGCTCCAAATCTAAGGGACTCCCTGTGATACATCAGTCTTCATCTAAATACTCTTTTCTCTCCTCATCTGATTTTGAGGGAGACTGCACTTGCCAGCTGCTTTGGTCAATTTGGGACAGTCCTTTTTCCCATGTCCCTCCTTCTTACAATAGGTACACTTTTTTTAATAAGGGGGCATGGACCCCTATTAACTTTGATTTCTTCCTTTTCCTTTAGGTTGGTAGTCAAGTGCAGCTGCCAGCAAGTTACTTGTTGCTTCAATTTGCACTTTTCCTGAGCCTCGTCCTGAGCATAGTATACTTTAAAAGCTAACTCCACTAACTATGAGATTGGTAACCCAAGGATCTCACTATTTGCAGTTTTCTTTGAATATCAGGGCTTCTGGCTGATTAAGGTCACATTGACCATTCTCTGATTGTCGGGTGCCTCAGGGTTAGTGTCAATCTACTTTTCATTATGTCTGATGACATCTTTCTATGAATTATGAAGAGTCCTCATATGCTTGCTGCTGAACTTCCTGTACCTTATTGAGGTTCTTTACCTGAGGAACCCCTTTCTTTAAACCTTCAATAATGTAATTCTGATAGTGTCCTAAGTGGGAAAGACCCCATCATTTACATCCCAGTTGGGCTCTGTGTTGGGGACTGACCCTTTGCAAGGGGCGATTGTTTCCCACCTCCAGACAGAGCTGGTTTGCCTCTTCCCTAGCCTTTTCTGTGACTACATGCCTTTCTTCTGACGTGAGCAGCACTTTAACAAAGTGAATATCTGCCTTGTGGGGTTGATAGGTCAGAAATATAGACAAGAAGAGCTCAGCCATTCGCTTACATTGGGATAGGGGGGATTACTGTTTTTCCAACTGAACAGATCCAAAGTGGGAAAAGGAAATGTACCCACACCATGCCAACCTGTTGTCCATTCACGTTTAGTCCCCTAGTAGGGAACTGATGCAAAGGAAACTGCCCTACCAAGGGGCCAGTGGCTCCCTGGCCAAATTGGGTTTTCTGTTCATTGCAGGAAGGGGAGACCACAGCCTACCCTAATTCCATGGGGAGGACAGGTTTGGGAGTGTTCCCCTCCTACTCCAGACAATCCCATAAGGAGGGGGTGGTGCTGGAGCTACAGCTGACTGGGGAAGGGGCAGAGGATCAGGATGATTATTCAGGGGATTCAAAGCACCAAGCAGTGTCCTGTCTTCCCCATCTAATGATGGGGAGTCTAAAACCTTAGGTTTGGATTGTTTTTTCTTTTGCAGCATCAAATTATACCTCTTTTGAGTAGGTTCATTCTGATATAAGAGCATGGAAGCCTGGACATACAGGATTGCATCCTATTTTTTCTTTTTCTTTTTTTAACTTTTGTTCCAAGAACAGTATTTTTTCTTGTCTTACAGAATGTTTCCAGTTGCATTATATTAGGATAACTTAAAGAACTGTTTGTCAGCCATTTTTCCCAAATTCTAAGACATATTCTGGTCAAGTAGCGTTATAATAAAAAAGCAGTTTATTTTTCTTCATGGGCTCATAGCTGAAAGTGGCCCAATCCTGGAGAATGCAGCCAAGGATGCTACTCTCTGTGATCAATTCCAAATTTGCCATTTTGTCTTTTCACATACACACCTATACATACAGACACACACAGACACACACACACACACACACCACCACCACCCCAAAAAAACAAAACAATAAAGCCCAAAAAATCACAAACAAAAAAACCAAACTTTTACAAGAAACAAGCAAATGGGTATAATCCACCATTCTATTACTCCCCAGAAGGCCCTCTTCACATTACAAGCAGAGAGAGTGAGAGATGTGGCTGTGTACACCGCAGCGACTTACCCTTCAAACCAAAACTGGAAGTCCAGATAGCAGTCTGAGATGTTTCTCTGCTCTAAGCTTCTAGAGCACCAACGGCAGCTGACACTGACCTAGAAGAGCTACTTTAGGGCCCCCCAACCAACAAGCCTGGGCAGCTTCTGGCACTTGTTTGCCTGACCTGGCTGGGCCTACTGCCATGTTGTCAGAATCTGTTGCAGAACCCCAAAACTTACGTCAGGTACCTGATGCACAGTAAGCCAAATACTGACGTATGAGTGCTTCAGAGCAGAGAAAGGTTTATTCAAATTGTCCAAAGCATGAGGGTGGGAGAGGCAAATTCTCAAATTCAACCTCCCTTTGCACATAACTGGTGGCTTTTATGAGTAAGGAAGGTGTGTGGGAAGTGAGATCTCCTGATTATCAAAGCTGCTTGCATCCCTTGGCCAAACTTCTGCATGCCATCAAGGAGGTCAGCATGACCAAGGATCATTGTTCTTTATAAGAAAAACAAGCTCATTAATCTTGCAAGCATCCCCTGGGGGTTAGGACATGAAGTTAATCACTTATTAGTGACTACCCACTACCAAAATGACTATGTGCAAGCAATCCTGCCTGGAGGAAGTTAAGGACAAAGAGAAAGGAAAGTAAAACAAGCGTGGTTTTTATAACATAGCTTTCGTTACTTTGCTATATTTCACCTAAGTGATGGCTATAAAGTTTTCTCTGCTTGCCACATTTAACAGAGATATAAAAGACTAGATATAAAACCCTTGCTTGCTAAAAAGCTGGTCTTGAAGAGTATATCACAAAGGCTCATCATGAATACATCATGAAGGCTCACTTGGGAAGAAATTGGAGGAAGACAACTAGTGAGGCAAAGAGAACAAGCAGGGGCATGTATGGAAATTCAGCTAGTCTGTTTTAAAGAGCCTCAGGGCAGGCAACTTCTGAGGACACTGTCAGCAGAAGTGCCATCATATAAACGTTACACCTTCACCAAAGTTTCCTGACCCTATTTCCCTTCTGTGTCCACCTCAATTCAGTTAACATGGCTCATTAAAAAAAATACAAACCGTCACCATTTGATGTTTCCTGTCTCATTTATTTAACACACACTTGTTCTGTGTCTGGCTAAGAGGACCTTGTTTAAAAGGGGGTTTAGACCAGGCACGGTGGCTTACACCTGTAATCCCAGCACTTTGGGAGCTTGAGATCACTTGAGCTCTGGAGTTCAAGACGGGCCTCGCCAATATGGTGAAACCCCATCTCTACTAAAAATACAAAAATTAGCTGGATGTGGTGGTGCACGCCTATAATCCCAGCTACTCATGAGGATGAGGCAGGAGAATGGCTTGAACCTGGGAGGTGGAGTTTGTGGTGAGCCAAGATTGCCCAATGCACTTCAGCCTGGGCCACAGAGCGAGACTCTGTCTTAAAAAAATAAATATTAAAAAACAATTAAAAAAATAAGGTCTTTAGTGGTCTGTTTAGGTTTTAAAATTCTTACATTATTCACACATGAGTTGTTTACAATCCACATAGCTCCACTGAGATTATCATGAAAAAGGCCAGTCTTCCTCCTCACTCCTGATTATCATCTCCCAAAGGCAGCCACTTCAAGTATTTTTACATTATTTATTTACGTTTGCCTCCATATTTAAATAATGTGCTTATATTGCCACTTCTTCATTTTTCTATTTGTGTTATTATCTGTTAATTTCCTCCTATGTAGATAAGAATTTAGCTCTTTCATAACATCTACCCTCACCACACCACAGTTGTGTCTCAACCTTTGGTTAAGTCGGTGCTCTCAGTTCATGTTCTTTACTAAATATTCATCATAGCCATAGTGTACCATGACTGTTTCTCAGACCACTTTTCCCCCATAATTTTTACCTCATTTGTTTGCCTGTTTTCCTATGAATTGATCATGAATTTATCCCCCAAATCTCTGATAGCATTATTTAACCTTGTATATACATCAAATTTTTTTTTCTTAATCTTTCCTGGTTCCCCTGTTCCAGGTTGAGTGCTGTATTCATTTGCTAGGGCTGCCATAGCAAAGCACCACAGGCTGGGTGGCTTAAATAAGAGAAATTGATTTTCTCACAGTTCTGGAGACATCCAAGATCAAGGTGTCCGCAGGGTTGCTTTCTTCTGAGGCCTCTCTTCTTGTCTTATATAGATGGCCATCTTCCTGTGGCTTCTGGTTTCACATGGTCTTCCCTTTGTGTCTCTCTGTATCCAAATTTCCTTTCCTTAAAAGGACGCTAGTTAGAATGGGACATCAATTTAAAAGAAAAGAAAAAGGACGCTAGTCATATTGTATTGAGGCCCACCCTAATGACTGCATTTTTACCTATTTACCTCTTTAAAGGCCCTGTTTCCAGGTATAGTTACACACTGAGACACTGTGGTTAGAACTTTAACATGACTTTTGGAGTGACACAACTCAGCCCAGAACAGGCACTTTGGTTATTCTGGCTTTTTTTTTTTTTTTTTTTTTTGAGACAAGGTCTCACTCCGTTTCCCAGGTTGGAGTGCAGTGGTGTGATCATGGCTCAATACAGCCTCCTACTCCTGGGTTCTAGTGATCCTCCCACCTCAGCCTCCTGAGTAGCTAGGATTATAGGCACATGTCACCACACCCAGCTAATTTTTCTATTTTTAGTAAAGAGTGGGTTTCACCATGTTGGACAGTCTGATCTCAAATTCCTGACCTCAAGTGGTCCACCCGCCTTGGCTTCCCAATGTGCTGGGATTATAGGCATGGGCCACCACACCTTGGTTATTCTCTACACCTTGGGCATACCTCCTGCCCTGGAATTTCTCTTTACCTTCATCCTGGTCATTTCTTACATTCCTCTCCTGTCTTCTGGATCCCATAGATGCTTTTTGGTCTACTTCCTTGTTTGGTGGAATTTATCCTTCAGCTTCCCAAGGAAGGTCATTGGGATATAAACTTTTCAAGACCTTTGCCTGAGTGAAATGGGTTTATTTTACTCTTTCACTGCTTTGATAGTTTGATCATAGAATCATAGGTAAGCAGTTTTAAATGCATTTATTCAATTGTTCTAGATTTCATTGCTGTTGAAATCCTGTGCTATCCTGACTGCAAAGCTTTTACTTGTGACCTGTAATTTTCCTCTCTGGCAGCTGTAGGATCTTTATCTCAGGTGTTCTGAAATTTCATGTTGTACAGTGGTGCAATCTTGGCTCACTGCAACCTCTATCTCCCAGGCTCAAGCAATTTTCCTGCCTCAGCCTCTCAAGCAGCTGGGACTACAGGTACACACCTTCATGCCTAATTTTTGTATTTTTGCTAGAGACAGGGTTTCACCATGTTGTCTAGGCTGGTCTCAAACTCCTGACCTCAAGTGATCAGTCTGTCTCAGCCAAAGTGCTGGGATCACAGGCATGAGCCACCATTCCTAGCCAGTGTGAATGCTTTTTAACTCATAATGCTACATACTTACTTAGTGAGCTCTTTCAATCTGGCAGCTTATGTGCATCAGTTCTAGAATATTTTGATTTTATCACATTTTTTTTTGAGGGGAGAAGTTATATCAGTTGAATGTGGGATTTTCTGAAATATACCTCTAATTTTATTTTTTTCTTGTTTTCCATTTTTAATGTTTTACCTTTTTAAAAAAATTAGGAGGATTTTTTCAGCTTTATTTTCTTTTTTTTTTTTTTTTTTTTTTTTTTTTTTTTTTTTTTTT